GTCTCTGTGTGTGTGTCTCTGTGTGTGTCTCTGTGTGTGTCTCTGTGTGTGTCTCTGTGTGTGTCTCTGTGTGTGTCTCTGTGTGTGTGTGTGTGTGTGTGTGTGTGTGTGTGTGTGTACACAGAGCCAGGTGAGGTCAGAGTTTGGATCAGGTGTGTGTTCTACCTGGGAGGTTATGGTCGCTTCTGGTTCTGTCAGGTCTTACCGGACCTGTGGTTCTGGTTCTGGTTCTGTCAGGTCTTACCGGGTCGTCCAGCCCGTGGATCTGCAGGATGATGGTCTTGGCCCGCTTGTTGCTGGACCCCAGGAAGAACTGGGCCTTCCTCCGGCTGCTGACGGGCGGCTCGGTCGGGTCCGGTTCCTCGGTACCAGACGCCTGCAGGATCTCGTAGATCTCAGAGGCCAGCAGCTTGGTCTCTCCGGGGGTGGTGGTCCTGAAACCAGAGCCCAGACAGAACCTTGTATAATAACAGACCTCTGGTTCTGATCGGTTGAACCGGTTCTGAGTTTGGACCTTTGGTTCTGGATGAACTTTACTCACTTCTGGACCACGTTCTGCAGGCTCAGAACCATCCCCAGCTCCCCCTTCAGCTTCTCCCTGTTGGCCCGGCACTCTGCCAGGTACCGGATGGCCTGAGGACAGAACCAGAGTCAGAACCTGCTGCTGGACCACACAGAACCACCCGAGGACCTCCAACACTGTCTCACCAGCAGGGCTGAGTAGACCACCTGAGGACTGGGGTGGTCCAGGAACAGGATGAGGCCCGGCAGGCAGCCCTGGTCCTGGACGATGGCCCGGCGGTTCATCGGGTCGGCAGCCAGGTCCCTCAGCTGGTTGACCACAGCCAGGGCGTCCGGCTCAGCAGTCATGGCTGACGGGTGGGGGGGGGGGGGGAGGGGGTCACTCACCCATGTAAGGAGAACCTGGGGGCCAAGACCCAAAACATCAGCACCAGAACCAAACAGAACCCTGCAGCACCAGGACCAGGATCTGGTCCTGGATCAGGTCTGACTGATCCACAAAGCAAGTCTGGCTTTGTGACTCCATCCCTGTCAAACAGCTGGTTCTGGATCAGAACCAAACACCAGCCGAACCGACCAGAACCCTCCCAGGTTACGTCCTCGTGGCTTTAAATGCGCGTGCACGCGTCAGAACCAGACAAGCACTGAAATCAGCTGTTTTTAACACCGGGTTCGGTTCGGTCTCACACGGACTCCGGTCCAGTCTGCTTCTGTCGGGTTTCAGGAGTTCGGTTCGGCTGATTCTGTCCATCATCTGCGGCTTTAGGGGTTCGGTTCGGGCTCAGACCAGCTGGATGACGCCCTGCTACATGCTAATGCTAACATAGCTCACCTGAGGGCGGGACTGAAGTTCGGCGTTCGGCCCGGTTGGTTCTCACAGCGCGGCCATTAGTCACACGAAGCCCCGGTACCGGTTCTGTTACCTGAGGAGAAACTAATGAACGGTTCGGTTCTTTGATTGAACAGAACCAACAATTCTTCCTGACAGACGCTAACAGAACCACCACGTGACAACATCACGGCCTGGGATTGGCTGGCTGACAGTCACGTGATGCTGAGGACCAATGAGCTCATAGTTAGAGGGCTGACCGGAAACTGATCCTGGATCAGTTCATGAAGACCTGATGCTTTTATTCTGACAGGAAACTGATCCTGGATCAGTTTATAAAGACCTGATGCTTTTATTCTGACAGGAAACTGATCCTGGATCAGTTTATAAAGACCTGATGCTTTTATTCTGACAGGAAACCGATCCTGGATCAGTT